CATTTATTAGTACCTCGTACTGAAGGTACTAAATTTAATGCGCATTAGGAAAAGTGCATTAATACATGTGTAGACATGACCTCTGTCTCCTTATTGGCTCACTGCTGTAGGAAGAGGCTACATAAAACATTGGTTGTACTTGTATGGTTGAATTCACCCAAAATGCAGGAAATTAATGCAAGCAATTCTCAAAGGGGTAAGAGGTACACTATCTGACTTTTAGTAAACAACAGTCAATTTAGTCTATAAGGCAACCAACTTTAATATTGATGAGTTTTTCCATGCCAAAAAATTCCCCTTTTTCTGGAATACCTTAATATTGAAGATCTTCAACTCTTTTGAACTTTAAAAACAAATTCCAAACATTTACAAGCAACCAGATCTGACTGTATCACAACCCAAAGAGGTGAACAAAGAGATAAGCTTAAATGTGAACCCTGAATATGCCTGCACATTAGACTATGGAGGATTTTCAGCACATATCTTAGTTTTAACTAATATTTATATAATTCTAACTTCACCTTTGTGAAACCATGTTAGTACTTCCTGTTATCACTGAAGATATTCCAGAATCCATTCTTTCATGCAAGCTATGTAAGCTACAGAAGTATTGTTTATATGAAAGCATTGTGAGGTGGATACATAATTAGCTACATCATGAGTAAAGAGTAGCCATCAGTGTCTCAATGTCTAACTGGGAGGAGATATCAAGTAGGGTTCCCTGGGTCTGGTACTGTTTAATATATTCGTTAGTAATTTGGAGCAGGGGACTGAGTGCACACGTGGCAAATTTTCAGATGACATCAAGATTGTTGGAAATGCTTTGAGGGCTTGGATTAGGATGAGAATGACATTGACAAATTGAAAAAATGGTCCAAAATTGATTAAATGAAATTCAACAAGGGCAAGTGCAAAGTCCTGCACTTTGGAGAAAATAACTGCAGGTACAACTACAGACTGAGGAATGACTGGCTAGCAGTACTGCAGGAAAGGACCTGGGGGATTACAGCAGACTTTACACTGAATATGAGCCAACAATGTGCTCGTTGCAAAAATGCTAGTAGCCTACTAGGCTATAGTAACAGGAGTGTCACCTGCAAGTCAAGGAATGTGATTCTTCTATTCTATTCAGTACTAGTGAGACCCCACCTGGAATACCATGTCTGGTTTGGGGTGCTACAATTCAAAAAAGATGTAGACAAATTAGAACGAACCAAGGTTGACATGAGGTGGATTTTGCCAACAGTCTTCAAACAGAACAAAGCAGCTTTACTGAGGATGGTGACAGACTAAAATTACAGGGGGCAGGACAAGGAGCAATGGCCTTAAATTGCAGTAATGGACATTTTGGTTAAAGAGTAGAGAGAACTTTCCTATCATGAGGATGGTTAAACATGAGAGTAGGCTACCTACAGCATGTGCTGAATAGCATCAACTTAACAGTGAGATTTGCTGCAAAGCATTTGATGTGTGGCAATTGTCCATCTGGCCATACTTATTCTTTGGTAAGTGAAAGCTAAGCCATGGCAGTTTATCTGCAATTATGCAAGGTCAAGTTGTCCTTGTTTAATTTTCAGTTACCATGAGGCAGGAACAGTGAGATGGATAGTTACCATTCATCAGCAACTCTACAGTGAGCACCTTCTCTCTGTTAACTCACAGCAAGTTGATTATTTGTCCATACTCTTCCAGAGTAAGAAAAAAGTTACATATATTTTATCATCTATGTACATAAGATATTTTGGTAAGAAATTATTATTGTCTATGTAGGAAGCTTCTCATTTTTTAAAAAGTCCCAAGGATCCTACAAGTTTTCCCCATACCCGTGGCCAATATTTCTCATTAGGCAGTTGAGGGATGTTAGAGGGCATGTGATACTCCTTCCCAATAAGGTTGAGTGGCTGGATTTGGATATTCAAAAAAAAAAATCCCATGATTTGGCATCTTTTTAGTTAAAAGGCATTTTTATTTAGGTTCCTTTCCAGAAGAAAATTGTTTTTTACTAACAAAAAAGTCTGTGACAACATGACAAATATTTTCTTTACATTTTAACGTCGCTTCATGCAGACATGTATTTTAATCATTAAAAATTATGACATTTTTCGCTTAAAGAAAAGTTCATGAGTAATGTCAGTCTTTCATCTCATTGGACAAGAATTGTTAATATGGAGGGAAAAAATAGAGTTCAGATTTTTATGGAGACAGAGTGAGTCCAATAGGGCAGCAACTGGACCTCCTAATGACAGCCCGAAATCATGTTATGCCTCTTCACGGTCAGTCTATGATTTAAAGTTAGAATTTAGCTTTGCTGGCTCACTAAATACTATCAAAATATTTAATTAACCCCCACCCCCTCACACACATACACTTTTCTTTCGCCCTTCAAAGACCTGTACAAAAAAGAAGTTAGTCAATAATCTAAATTAATTATACTGCAGAGAGGAAACTAGAAGAGGGACTTAGGGAACCATGAACAGGCCCTAGTGAGGCTTCTTCCATGTATTTTGGAATGGATGTTTAGGAAGAGTGGGTGGAAAACAAGACAGAAATGGAAGGAAAAGAAGTGAAGGGAATCTGAAGAGGGTAATAGATAAAAGGGGAGGTGTGCTTGTAGGAGGGGAGATTGGTTATACATTTTCAAATCTAATCCATCTATCTCTCTTCTCTTCCTTACAGGACAATTTGTGAGGTGCCCTGTGTTTGCACCGGCATATATGTCCTATCTGAAAGGAGTAAATGAGCCAGGGTTCCAAGGGCAAATAAACATGGCAGTGTGTGATATTGACTCTACCAACAGAATCAGTATTACCTGGGCACTTTTGTCTAAGCCTAGTGCTGGACTTTGCGACCCTAATAATGTTTTTAATGTAGATTTGCAGCTAATATTGATATAAATCTCAACCAGTTTTCATGCTGTTCTGTGTAATTCTCTAATATGACAATATAATCCTTTCTGATCTTGCTGCTTTTCTCTTCAAGAATCAAATATTGCTGAACAACACCTTAGCTTTCCATTTTATCTCAACTGATTTTGGTCCATTTCTCTTCACTTAAAAATTCTTAATACATTATTCTGCATAAACATTACTTATTTGCTTCTCTGAATGGGCAATATTAGTATAAAAACTGTCAGATTTTCCTATGTCTTATCTAATAAGTCAAGTTACGCAAACCTTTTCAGATTTTCCTCATTTTCTCTCAGTGATTAAATATTGATATTAAATCACATTAAAATTCACCAGATTTCTATTCTAATTATTGATTGAAATAGGATTTCCTCAGTTTTAGGGAACTATTGCCCTGAATCATTGACTTGGTTATGGGGAGAAAAATATTGGGTGCTAAAAACCTAACAGAAAGGCATAACAAGGATCAGTGGCTGGAATTTTAAATCAAATAAATTCTAACTGGAAACAGGGATACTTTTTTAAGAGTGAGGGTGACATATCACTGGAATAATCTGCTCAAAGGAAACAATGACTTCTCCATATTTTGATATACTAAAATGAACACTGGATGTGTTTCTGAAAAATTGTGTTTCTGTCAAGCTCAACTTACTGGGCTGACTATAGACTTGATGAAGTTCTCTGATCATTGTTAAACAGTAGGCTACAGTAGAAGTATTAATGGTCTCTCCTGGGCTGAAAATATAGTAATCTATGAATTTAATATAGAAAACTGGAAAAAATTCTCAGTATATATGAACAGGTACATGTTAGCAACGTTTTATATTTCAGAAAAAAAAATCCTTGTATGATACATAGATTGCTATGATAAGTATTTATTTTTCTGATTATTGGAGTAAATCATTAAACAACAAGGAGTACCATTAAAATTGCTTAAGGGACAGATTTTAAAAGGGTTTAGGCATCTAAAGGTATAATCTAATTTGCAGATACCTAGTGGGATTTCCAGAACTGATAATCTATAATCAGTTGTTGATATAAGTGGGAGTTAGGAGTCCAGATAATCTTTGAAATTCTACAAGATGAATCTTTAGTGACATATATATGTTGAAAAATCTAACCCTAATTAGATGACATGCCTAAATCCTGTTTTGAAGAACACCTGAATTATTTCAGAACCAAAGTTCAACTGATGTTTCCAAATGACTTAGGCAGGTGTGGATATAGGACTTAGATTCTAAGGGTATGTCTACACGTTGCTGTATGGCAATGTTGCTATAGCACCATTCTTTAGTACTTCCTTTTGGGTGAGTGGCACACTGGGGTCATGCTGTATGCGAGCGGCAGCCATGCTGTACAGCCCTGCAGCAGCTCTGGCATTGTGCTGCACAGCCCCATGGCAGTGGTAGTGGCAGTGGCTCCAGGGCCGTGTTGTGCAGCCTTGAGGTGGCCTGGGCATCAAGGCTATATAGAGCCGCTCTGCAGCAGTGGTGGCTTTGGGGGCATACTGCACAGCTCTGGAGTGACTGCAGCAGGACCGTGCTGCATGTAGCGCCCACTCCAGAACTAGACTGCAAGGCTGATCTATGAGTCCCAACTGGCCCATGGACTGGCCCCATGCCACTCATCACCAGATGAGTTTGACACCCTGCCCTAGGGTAAAGAAGCCAGAGAAAGTATGTTTGATGAGCAGTTATGACTTACTTGTTTGAAAGATCGGAACACACTGATTGTACTTGTTTAATTAACAACAATAACAATAACAAAAACAACATCATGGGGGAAAGTAGTAATAACTTGGGCTCTTATGTGTGTTCTTATAGGTATACTCTGTTTTCTTACTAAGCAAACCTCCTGAAGTTTTGTATGAGGAAGAAAAGCAAGACTAGGTCTACTGAATAAAGTTTATAAGAAAATAATGTTAGGAAAAAGCTGTATCTGCTTCATAGGAAATACTGATTAGTGCACTGTGTCCTTTAATTCTTCATTTAAAAAAATTACATGTGGAAATAAAGTAATCAATTAAACTCAAGGAACTCTTGATATTTTTTTCCCCTTAAAGATAAGCAATAATTTATTTCTCTTTCATCTTCACAATTATCACATATTACCTAGCTACATGAAGAATGCCACTACATACCACAGGAGAATTGCCCACCTACATTTACTTGGACAAATACAATTGCAATTTACAGGTTAAATGTTCTGTACAGTGTGTTGGTGGAAAAGGTCATTCTGATCCGTATGAGGGGATGTAGGACATGACTTATTAACAGATGCAATTTAACATGTAAAAGTTTAACAACTTGTTATGCCAAGAAGCAAGGATACTGTATAAAACATTTTGTTTTGGTATTGGATTTTTACTAAAGTAGAAAAAAGAAAACTATAGAAATAAATCCAGATCTTAACTTACAATACATACATTAAAGTAAGAAATTGAGTGGCTCCTCCATTTTTTTGTTTACTTTTCTTTTTTTTATACAAATGAATATTATGAATATATTGCATGGTAAAGAAAGATTGCCCGCTAAGGAAGGTACCATTATATGAAAAACAAATGAAAATTACCAAGTTATTTTGCTTACAAAAAAGGCCAAACTATAAACAGTCACAAAATATATAAAAATGCCACATTGAACGAGGCAATCAGACTCTACCTAAACTGGTAGTATACTCTTTGAAACAGTTGTGTTCATACAGTAGTAACTGATAGAAAGGCATTATGCACTCTTGTGCCATCTGGAGACTTAGCACCATGTGTCATTAGTTCTTGGATTGTCATCCAGTTGTCCAAAATTTTCTTGTTCCTCTTTTTCATCATCTTTTTGTGACTGAGTTCAATAATGTTAATTTCTTTTTTGCCCTCGCTGCCACTTTGTGGACTTTCCTTAAGACACTCTAACCTGCTCCGCATCATGAACTCTCGCCGCCGCCTCTGCTCCTTGGCTCTCACCAAATGCTGCTTCCGCTCCTCTTTGCTCCAGTAACGTCCCATTTTCATTTCACTCATTGTATCATCATCCGTTGTCATTCCGCTGCGCTCCTCTTTAATTTTTAAGGCACGTTCCTTCAGGATTCTGTCTCGTACTGGTCTCTTTGTGATATATCTTGTTCCATCACTTCTTATTTTCACTTTCCATTCCATCTTCGGTTCTGTACACTTCGATGAATCTTTGCACATGCTCACTAGGCTGAGCTGACTTTGGGCATACTCTACAGCAGATTTCTGTTGGATCAGCTGCATATAGCTTTGATAATGTTTTGCGTGTGCAGGTATATTCCCATATCTGTATGATGAACTGTGATATGGAGATAGGTAAGGAATGTGCTCAGTGCTTTGCTTCTCCTGGTCTGTGAATTTGCCGCTTTCTGAAACCATTACCTTATCTTCAACAGTACTGCTTTGCTCAGTAGTTTTGGTTGGGGTTGCCTCTCTGCTACTCTGTCCAGAAGACAACTGGTTAGCTACAATTGTACTTCTCAGGTTTTTCCTATTGGTGATGCTGATCATTCTCTGGAGTGAGCTATCAGGAGATCGGTCAACAGTCAGTGGAGTGCTCCTGCAGCTTTCTGCTGTGTTGTAAGCACTGGAGCTATCTTTGTCAGATTTCTCAGGGTGCTCTATGATATCATCCAGTTTACCTCTTTGTACATCTATGCTGGTGTTATAATTCCTGAATCCTCCATCATGTAAGGCCCAAATATCTCCATCCTCATCCCTCCCCTTTTGAAGCCTGTGAGCCTGCATAATGTTCTGACACTCGAGTTCAATATTCCTCAATTCCTCATTGAGTAACTGTAGCTCATGCTCTACCCCATCTTGTTCCTTTCTGTTACACTCTATTGTACTGCTTGAGTAATATAGGTCATATTCACCATGGTTTCTAATCTTGCATTTGAGTTCCAGGAGTTGCCGAAACCTTTCACAGTCCTCATCTTGGTTTCTAACAAAATCTGATTCAATATATTCCCCAGACACAAAGCTTTCATTGCACTGGAGTTCAACACTTCCTAAAGTATCTTGGCTCTGGCCCAGCTCCCGCTTGCTTTGTAGGGCAGCAGTGCTCTGCTCCTCAGGTGCATTCTCCTGCTCCGAGCTCTCATCATTACGTAGACTCTCATCTGTGGGCCCCACTCCACTGTCTTTCTCATGGTTGTTGGATGATGAAGTTGCAGTGTCTGTTGTGCCATCCTCTTCCTCATGCTTCTTTGGCTAAGGAAAAGAAGAAACCAAACAATGACAAGATACAAGCCGTATTAAATGTAAATATTTTCAATCTGAGTTTTGCTTAAACAGTTGAGTTCTAATTTAACCTGAGTGAAAATGGTTGACTGAACCATATCCCTACTTGCTTATTCCTTTTAAACTTCTCTAGGCCTCATGCTTCAGTCTCCAGAGCCCACCTGGATTTCTGAAAGTTGGGAGAAGAACGGTGGAGGAAGTAGAGCACTGTTAAACCACTGACATATCTTCCAGAGACAGGAAATAAATACTTCCCTCCCCAGCGAAGCCAACTTAGCTCAATGCTTAAAGATAATGATCACCATACGGTGCATTGCTTTTAGCTCTGGATTATGGCCAGACACTGGTGGAGCTAAGCTCTTCTCAAACCTGAGGCAAACTTTATGCCTGCATAACTTCAAAAATTAGATTAAGCTGCTCTTACGAAACATAGGATGTTATAATAAGGATTATTTTTACCAGTGGGGCTATTATATTGTGTCTACACATACTGTACTTCACTACCAGCAAAAAAAAATATTTTTGCTCTTGGCTTTTATTTCACTCCTGACTCATGGTACCTTCCTATTTATTGTACACTTTAGTGCCAAGAGTATTAGCAAACATTGTACTGAAGGAGTGTATGTATTTCCTTTTTGTAACTGAATGTGCTACAGGCATTCCCCCTCCTCCCTTTTCTCTAACACTATCATCCAAAGTGCAATTTACATAGCCTATTTACTGTATGCCTAAGTGCAGCCAGTATCAGCCTAAAGTGCTTTCCCCTTTTAAAGGTGTAATTACATAATTAAGTATAATGGTTAGCGAGATTAAAGAGAGAAAAAAGGTACAGTGCACAAGTAACAGGAAACAAAATTCAAGAGGGCACACAACAACAGCTGATTCTTCTAACATGAAAGATACTAGAAGATACAAAAAAGGCCCCCACCTACCCAGTGTGCCATTAGTACTTTAGAACAATGAACCCTTCAACTATTTTCTTTTCGCTTATTAGAAAAGAGGGGGTAACTAGGTGGCACAGTTTAAAAAAAATAAACAGATATAAAGTGTCAGGAGTGAAGCAAATTCAGAATAAATCCCATCACCAGCAGCAAGCAAGCGGTCATAACAGAGTTATCAAAAATGAGAAAAGTTTCTCTCTTACTAGCTGGAAAGCCTTGTTAGGAAAGTGCTATCCTTACAGCAGTATTACATATTTTAAACATACACATCAGCTCAAAGAACATATGTAGTGGTAGTGAACTATATACTAAACATAGCCTTGCCTTTACCCACTTGGCCACCACCCATACCAATTGCAGAATCAGCCTCCAGAATGTAATTTGTTAAGAGGCTAGGGTAAGTGTCATTTAACCCTGAATAGGTGAGAAATTAAAAATCTGATATTTCATGGTCTTTTAGGCCAGGAAACTTTTGGAAGGCTCCCAGATACTAGAACTTAAAACTGCAATGTTACTGTGGACATGAAAGGTGCTTGCAAATGTAACCCCCCCCCCCCCCCCCAAACTGCACTTTACCGGGAGAAGCAGTGCATTACTTTTACCTAGCTCTGCAGCATCTGTATAGGTTGGGCGCTTCAGCAGGGCTTTTTCGCACTTTTATCTAAAGCTGATTCAACCAGCTATTAGATAAAGCACCAAAAAAGGCCCACTAAAGCGCCCAATCTATACAGATGTTGAGCGAGCCGGGTCCAACTAACACACTGCCTCTTTTGGGCATGTTCTGGGTGCAGGGCAGGAGTGAACAGTTAAATGCTGTTTTTGTTCTTTTTTTTAATGTCTGCAAGTAGCCAGAAGTATTATAGTGTAATTGTTAGAGGTTTCTAAAATTTATAGCTATGTATTTTTCTCTCTGAGGTCTTTACAGTTCTGCTTAGAGCAACTAAAGTATTTTGGCTTTATAGGAAGAAGGAAAATGAAACACAGTATCAATAACATTTTAAATAGCTCTAAAACATTTCTGAATTAGTTCTTTTAAAATGTGAGGCATACATACAGAATATATGCTGGCATGTTTCAGTGGTATATAGAAGATTTATCAATAGTTTGAGATGTAAGCAACGTTACCGTTCCATGCTTATGACAATAAATTGTTTTTACCACACCATGTTTTCTTTTTTTGTAATATTCCTTTATTTCTTCTTCCTCTGTGTGGCAGATACATTGCTGTGAAGGACTATGAACCTCATCTAAAGACTTTTTAAGATTTCATACATTTTTCTAACATACCCATGGAACCTTAGTTTCAGTTTCAAAAGGAATTCTAGAATTCCGGACTTAGTAGCAGTGGTTTTTCAATCCCATAACCAATTAAAGATTTAAAAAATATTACCTGTCTGCACCAGAACAAAACCATCATCTTTAGAAAGAAGAAATGAGGAAGACTCACTCTGAAATAGCCTAGTGCTTAAAGTACTCCCCTCAGATGTGGGAAATCCATGATTAAGCTTCTGCTTTGCCATCTCCCTCATCTTGGTAAGTACCCTAACCACCAAGCCATTGGGACGGGTTTCTCACCGCCTCTCCTATTGGAGCCATCACACTTTATTTGAAAATAAACCTTTGTTGGATTGTTAACAAGGCACTGGAAGAAGGAAATATGCATTTCTGCTTTTTCAACTCCTATTCAGTTTGCCAACTTTGAAGAAACTAAATCATAGAAAAAAGATATTCTTTCTTCACCTGCTGGCACTAAAAACAAAAGTAATCAGGATAAATTTAATTATAACATATATATATATATATATATATTCAAAATAACAGAGACTGACATTTGTAAAAAAAATCTAAATGTCACTATTTGCTCAGTTGTAAAGACAAAATAATTGAAGCGGGGCACTTCACAAGCATGGTGGGGACCATGGTATTTGCTTAAAATGGTATTTGCTTAAAATGCAGTACATGATACTATGACATATGTATAAATTACCCTTGGGACTTAGACTTCTGAGTACCAAAGTTACTTTTTTAAACTTTACACATTATTTATTGAAATCCTGTTTTTTAAATGCACATTGACTGTTGCTCCACAATTACTTCTGTTTGAAAGACCAAGGAACTCAGTAAGTCTCATCTATAGAGAAAGAACTACAGATGATGAGAATCCTAACCTGGTGGTACATATAATCTAGCAGTAAGTGAACCTCAAAAAATTCTGTATTTCAACTTGGATAAGCACTCATTCTTGTAAGAATGGCTAATCTTGCAGACATTGCTCTCACTCTGGCTTTACAATATTTATTCTCTAATCTAAACTACAACATTTATTCTGTAACCTAACATCTAGAGTGTTGTTAAAGTTTGAAAGTAGAGAGTCCCAGTGCAGAGACTGAATCGGTCCTGTTGCTCCAAACCAGGAGAGTGGGCTATCTTATCAGCCTCTGATGGCAAATGCAATAGTGACAGAGGCGTGGAGAGCTGCCAGGAAGATAAAGAACAATATTGCACATGCCACTTACGTGTGTTAAATGCATTTAAAATTTTAGTGTCCATGTGATCAAGCAGCAGATAACATGTTAAGTGTGCTTGTATCATAGCAAACACAACTTTTTGGGTAATGAGTATCTATAGATTGTATTATGTTCAGTTACCATCAACCTGCTCTATAGAGATAATAGGAGTAATTTGTGCTCCTCCAGTATTCCAGAATGTACCACTCCCAGCCCTGCCCACCCAACAACTCTTGCTCCAGGGAATGATCTATTTACCCACCCAAGCTCTACTGCTCAGGGGGGTGGTGCTAATCCCAAGGCAACACCTGTACCCACTCCTAGGTGTGACCCTGACCCACATGGCATCACTTGAGCACCCATAGATTTCATAGACATAGATTTCATAGACATCAGGGCTGGAAGGGACCTAGGAAGATCATCGAGTCCAGCCCCCCGCCCAAAGGGCAGGAAGTCAGCTGGGGTCATAGGATCCCAGCAAGATAAGCATCCAGTTTCATCTTGAAGGTGTTCAATGAAGGTGCTTGAACCACCTCCGGTGGCAGGCTGTTCCAGACCTTGGGGGCTCGGACAGTAAAGAAATTCTTCCTTATGTCCAGCCTGAAACGATCTTGAAGTGGTTTGTGACCATTCGACCTCGTCATCCCTTGGGGCGCTCTGGTGAACAAACGTTCCCCCAGATGCTGGTGGTCACCCCTGATAAACTTGTAGGTGGCCATCAGATCACCCCTGAGCCTGCGCTTTTTCAGGCTAGAGAGCCCCAGGGCTCTCAGCCTGTCATCGTAGGGTCTACTTCCCTGACCTCTGATCATGCGCGTGGCTCTTCTCTGGACTCTCTCAAGCTTCTCCACATCCTTTTTGAATTGTGGAGCCCAAAACTGGACGCAGTACTCCAGCTGCGGCCTCACTAAGGCCGAGTACAGGGGGAGAATGACGTCCTGGGATTTGCTTGAGAAGCATCTATGGATGCAAGCCAGCGTTTTGGT